GCCTGCACCTACGTCTTCCCCGGCTCCGCTCCTCTGGGGAAAACAGCAAAGAGGTGGCCGTGCTGCACACGCATCTGGTGAAAGGAGGGAAGTGGCCAGTGTGGATTGTTCCAGGAATTAACCAGCTAATTTCAACACAGGACTGAGAATCTGGTGCAAGTGGCAAGGAACAAGAAGGCAATTAATACGACTGATTTATAAATAATGTGTTTCCCCGTGGAGCTGCCAGCATTCGGTGTGGTCCTGCAAACACCCCAAAGCCCTAAGGGTGGGCGCTGTCAGGGCTGCAGGGCAGCAGCTGTCAGGGCTGGAAAAGCAGACGCCCGGCAAAGATTTCCCCTCCCCTCCGGCCTCGTACCTGACTAGTTCTCACTAACACCCGGGCACCAGGAGCACACTGGAGCCTTTACCTGTGGGGGCCATTAGCCGTTTCCTCTTTCAGAGTGGGGGGGTCCAGGATCGTGGGGAGCCAAGAATCAGACATGCCCAGTGTGCACACTGCCGGGCACATTTTGACGTCGGGATCTCTCGATATCCTGATATCCTGCTTTGGAAAAAATCCCCCAGACCCTGGCTCTGACCCAACTCCTCCTGGCCTGAGGCCAGGGAAGAACGTGCTAGTCCCCACAGTGCGAGATCTCGTGGTCTGGCCCCATCGCTGGTGAGAGCTCATGTCATCCGGCCTTTCTTTTTAACGACCTGAGGAAAATATACATGGTTTTACTGATTTACTTCCTTTCGGACAAAGGCACCATCATTCTTTAGCCCAAGCTTTGCCATATCAGGGAAAAGCTGTTTTTAGTTCCTTAGTTTAGACATATATTTCTACAGCACTATTTTTACAAGTTCATTGCTTTCTAAATCTCATTATTATTATTATTATTGTCCCCCTCTGCTTCTAGCCTCTGAATGTGGCTGTTCTCCATGACTTCACTGGAAACTCTCTTCTCTTCTCTCCTCTAGGTGATTTCTTCTACGCCCATGAGAAATGCCGCTGACACAAGTCTTGTTCCATTTACGTGAAATTCTAGAACTCGCAAAGCAGACGCACGGTGGAAAAGTCAGCACAGCGACCGCCCCGGGAGGGCCGGTCCCTGCAGGGCGACTGGGAAAGGCCACATGAGCCTGGAACGGAGGTCATGCTCTGGGTCTCGACAGGGATTTGGTCACACGGCTGCGTGCATTTGTCGAAACCCAGCAAATGTGCACCCTCCGTTACACATTTCACTGTTTGAGAATTTTACCTTAAAAGAAAAAACAACTACAAACCATGCCGGGGCCTCTGTGCGTGCCAGCTGCTCAGGGGGGGAGGCGACACTTCGCTCCAGAAGGTCCTGTGGTCCCTCTGGGCAGCTGAACCCAAAGGCTGGACGCCAGCTGCGGTCCCTGCTGGGCTGGCCTGGACACATGCCATGTTGCTCGCCAGGCTTTCCTGGTCTTTGGAGGGGTCACAGCAGTGTCGTGATGCCCTCAGGGTCACGGCCCTGCGAGGCATGGGCACCCCAGGAGGGGAGGTCCCGCCCTCCACCCTGGGGGCTCAGGCAGCACCCTCCTCCCCCAAGCGTAGAAGTCGTGCTGGGGAGAGGCTGTGGCAGTGGCTCTGGGTGGCTGTCCTACCTGGGCAGTGACACACGCAGCCCTGCAGCGGCTCCCGTGCCCCGGGGGCCCTCCCAGAGCAAGCCCTGCAACAAGGACTGCTGGGTCTCCTGGGCACACCACATCTGTGGGGCCACGGGCGCTGCCACGGCCCAGGTGCTGCGCCTGCAGGAGGCCCTCGCCGCGGTTCCCACCCCCAGCAGGGTCGGGGCTCCGCAGCTCCTCGAAGCAAGAACACGGGAAGGGCCTTCGTGGCAAAGGTGTCCGAGTGCTTTTTGTCCAGAGCCTTCAACAATTAGAAATCTAATTTTCACCTTCTATCTCAATTTGTGCCCTTAATCATGATTTTCTTTTTTTTTTTTTTTTTTTATATAAAACTGAACTGTAAGTTAATCATGATTTTCATGTTTTCTCACACTTTGTTTTGATGTTGTCAATGACAAAATTGAACAAAATGTAACAAAAATGGCCTAAGGTCCATTTTCCGTGGAAACTCGACAAAGTTAGAGTCTCAGCGTTTTGCGAACATGGGAACGGCCCACAGGCCACTCGGCCTGCTCATGAGCTGCTCGGGGGACACCCAACCCCCTGGGGCCCAGCTGGGCCTCCCAGGCTTCCCGCCAGGAGCAGAGGGGATGGCTGTTGGGTCATCCCCCACCCTCCCCCAGATAACGTCCTGCATTCCGGGGGGGCTCTGCCCCAGGACCCTGCGGACAGCAGCACACACTCACCAGGAGGGAGGGTTCCCAGGCCAGGAGCAGGGGCCACAGCCCCAGTGGGGACAATGCCAGGCCTGGTCGCATCTGCTGCAGCGGTTCCCCTGGCTGGCGTCTCGGGGCAGGCACGAGCAGCTCTGCCCTGAACAGGAGATGGCCTCCGACTCGATGTGACACTTTCTGAGAAGGAAGCCCGTCAGCACCCTCACCGCCCCCCCATATCAGAGCCGCCATCTGTCACCCGTGCCTGAGCCCAGGCAGTGCCCGCAGCGTGTGCTGAGGCCGGGCTGGGCTTCCTGCAGCCGTGCCTGACGCAGCCTCAGGTGTGAGATGGACTCACCAGGAGCCGGTTCTCGGCACAGCTCTGAGGGCCGCGGTGCCGAGACCAGGGCCGGCAGGGGAGCGATGGACTCTCTGTGCCCACATGGAAGGTTGGCTGAAGACCTGAGGTCGTTCCCAGCTCGGTGCGCGGTGTGGACAGAGACTTAGCGATTGGATCAAAATCCTGAGACACGTGCATGCCCGTGACCGGCGCTCGCAAGGGTGCACACGGATCCGTGAGCCAAATGCAACGAGAGGGTCAAGCCAGTGAGGCTGCACACATGAGACGGGCTCCACGGCAGCTGAGAAACGTGGCAAGGCAAGCCAGTGTGGCAGCCACGTGGTTTAAGTTGAAAATGCACAGGAAACAGAATGCACATGACGAGACATTGTTGTGCATCACACACATATCTGGACATTTGTGCAAAGAGAAGTTCTCAATGGGTATGAGCCAAGATGTCGAAGTGTTGATTTCTGAGGAACAGAATGATAGGCGTTTTTCATTTTCTTTCTTGGTTCTTTGAGTGTTTAAATTTACAATAATAAATGTGTATCATTCTATAAGTAACATAAAATTAATCAAGGTTAATTTCCAATAGATTTGCCAAAGAACCAGTTTAGCAGACAGCAGCTCAGGTTCTCAGTCTCTGTAGCAGAGGAGGGACTTCGGGGGAAACGGGCTTCCAGAGAAGGCCAAGGCCCCACGCGCAGGCATGTGCAGTGGCACCAGCACCCGGCACGCTGCGGCCACCCAGGGGCACGGGGACCTGCACTGCCCCCCCCCCGGCGCCTCAGCAGTGCCCTCCGAACAAGGTGAGGACTGCGGACAGGCCTGGCACACAGCCCTGGGGGTGGGGGCGCAGCCTGGGGTGCCCCAGGCAGGGGAGGGGACATGCAGGGAGCTGGCGGGTGCAGATCAGAGGCCCAGTCTCTGGGAGGCAGGAGCCTGCCAGAGCCCCTGAGGTCCTGCCTGCAGTCCCTGTCACCACAACTCAAGGTCCCAGTGACGGTGCAACCATTGGGAAGAAATTGTAAATGCTGCTGTTTTAAGGCACAATGCAATAAACGGCAAAGCCAGGCCAGCATGCGCGGTGGAGACCTGAAGGCCGCAGCCACCGGGTCAGAGGTCCCCATCCTCTGGGGCGGTGCTGACACCCTCCTCCTGCCCCCCAGGGATCTCATGCTCAGACCCCATCCCATGCCTGCCACGTCACTTCTCTCCCCTACGGCCTGGGAACGCCTCTCCCCACACGTCTCACATCTCACCCTCCCGCTCCCACCCCGGGGAGCCCCCACACCCTCCACCCTCCCTGGGCCCAAGGGAGGGTCTTGCTCAGAGTCCAGCCAGGTCAGCCAACTCCTGCGGCCAGAGAGCAGACCCTGCAAGTCTGCTAGCAGCAAGGTGTGCTCAGACGGGCAGGAAAGCCCCTCACACCCTCGAGGCTCTGTCGGGAGCTGCTCCAGCCACATCCTAGAGCCCGGCCACATGGCTCTGGCATGGCACTTCTCCCCAGAGGCCCCGTCCGCCTCTCTGGACAAGGTCCTCTCTCCCTCATGGGCTCCCCGTCCAGGAAGGAGCCTGCAGCTCCTCTTCCCCATGCGTAGTGGCCCTTGGACACAAGCGGGCTCCCTTAGGGCCCAGGGCGTGGGGTACAGGGGAAGGGCTTGCTGGGGGGAGACACTGAGGGTGCAGATGGGGTCTACTCCCTCACTGGGCCAACATCAGTGACAGCCACAGCAGGCCGGCCGCACGGCAGGACTAATGTGGAAGGCAGGTCCCGGGCTGGACAGACCTGAGAGGTGAGGCACGCACGGATGTTCACACCTGGTGTTTACCAGGACGCTGAGAGCTGAGGGGTGAGTCAGGACAGGTCTAGACATAGGTGGTGGGGTCCTGGGGTGGGCCCCTGGGTGGGTGCGTCCAGGGAGAGCTTGGTGGGGCTATCTCAGCAGGGCAGCTGTACACGCTGGAGATTCCAGTCTCAAGCCCCCAGCTGAGCCCCGACTCCCCAACCCCCGCATTGCCCGCACACTTCAAGGAGGGCCCCCAGACTGGCACACCAGGGAGCTGCCCCGAGGGTTGAACCGGTCGGGCTTGGAGGGTGCGGGAGCGGGAAGGAGGAGTGGTCTGGGAGGCTGCCTGGTGGGGAGACCCCTGCCCTCTCCTGCCTGGGTTCAGCCAGCCAGCGCAGGAGAACTGTGAGCACAGCGGCGGGTGCCGGCACTCGAGCCTCCGCCCAGGAGGGGACACTTGGAGGGTCCTCGCTCCAGCATGAGGCAGCCCAGGGCAGGGGCCAGAACAGAACCTGGGCCGTGGCACCTCTGATAGACGCTTCTGGAGTGAAGTAATGATGAGTGAGTGACGAGTGCCTTCAAACGGAGTTTAATGACAGCTGTTTTAAGGACAAGGACAGTGAAGACCCCGGCCTCCCCGGTATATCCCCCCACAGCGATGTTCCCCACGGTCAGGGTCATCGGGTCCTGGGGCAGGGACCACCGTGGTCTTCCATCCCAGCCTGAGCTCCGGAGCCCGGGTTTCCAGGAGCCCCACCTGCGTGTGAGGAAGAGACGCACCGTGGGCCCGAGCGACTGCTCAGAGCCCGGTTCTCGGCTCCCGGTGTCCTGCTGCCAAGCCAGCCAGCCACAGAGGGACCAGGATGGGACACGGTGGTCAGGTTAGAGTGAGGTCACTTCTCGCACCGAGTCCCCGCCCCAATCTGCCTGCTCAGACCCCCTGAAGCCATCGGGGACAAGGTGCTGGGCAGACACTGCACAGCCACAGAAACCCAGGAAAGACGGGGGACCCCCTGACCCCACGTCAACCCACAGGAAGACTCCAGCCCCACAAGCAGCTTTCAGGGGACAGCCGAATGTCCCCGTGCCCCAGGACTGAGACGGGAGTGAGGGTCACGGACACACAAGCAGCTCTCAGGTCTTTAAATGTATGCGCTGGCCAGAGCGGAGCCGTCTGCATAGGAGAAGTACAGCAGGAAGAGCACCGCGCACGCCAAGACACACAGGTGCACACCCGCGGGGCTCAGCAGCGCCCCAGCCTCCTGCGCCGCCTCCCCCGCGCCGTCCTCCAGCTCTCCCGCGTCGTCATACTCCTCCTCCAGGACCAGGTCCTCGTTGGTTGCAGGCCCCTCATCCTTCTCCCCCAGGGGGACGGCTCCAATGTCCTCATAGACGCCCTCTGAGGATGGGTGCCTCGACATGCTACAACCTGCGAAGTCCACACCACAACCTTCTAGAAGAAATGCTCCTGCAGTCCAAGTCCACTCTGCCCGGCCCCTTTGATCTCTCATGCTTGCTGGGACCCCCAACGCTTCTGCCCACAGACCCCGCAGAGAGCAAAGACCTAGCACTAGGGACGCTGCTTCCTGGGCACCAAGAGCCCAAAATTCTGCAGTAGGGCTTGTTGGTCTCAGCCCTGAATGCACCGGGAAAGCCCCCGCTATACACACGTCACAGGGATCAGGAGGCCTCTTAAAGCCTGTTCTCAGACCAGGCAGCCCTGGGAGTGAGGATTTTCTTCACTCAGCCCATCCTGGGAGCTGAGCAAGCCTGAGACCCAGGGTCTGCAAGTCCCCACAGCTTGTGGCTCCACAGAGTCACTGAGCTCTGGCCATGGGAAAGGCCAGCCAGCGTGCAGGGCAGTGACGAGGACGGGGAGGGCCTACACCGGCCGGTGTCCCCCGGAGCATTCTCACGGCCACGCCTCCCCATCCCAGACCCGTACCAACTGCACCTTGTCACAGCCACCTACCCTGGCAGGCTGCTCTGCGGCGGCACCACTGAGTCCCCAGGAACAGGGACACCAGGCCCAGAAGGGAACCAAGGATGACACAGGTGATTTCAGGCAGGGCCCAGGCCTCGGGGTCAGGTGCAGGGGCCAAGGAAGGGGCTGTGGGCACAGTGAGAGGTGAGGCCGCCTGTATCTCTGGGCTGCCTGGGGCATTGTGACCCTGGCCTGAGACCTCAGCCTTCCAGGGAGGGTGGGGCACCCAGGAGGGGTGGGCCTCTGTGCCTGGACAGGCTGCTCCTCCCCCCAGAGAGAGGGACTGAGAGCCCAGGGGGAGAGCACAGGTGTCAGGGCCCATGTGGGAGCATCCAGGTGTGTGGGCCTAGGCAGCGGGCACAGTGGGCGGGCACAGGTGGAGGGCTCCGGTGGGAGAACGCAAGTGTGGGGGCCCAGGTGGGGGCCCAGGGGGATGATCCAGGCGGGGCCCACTGCGCTCAGCTGCGCTTTGGATACAGAGCCGCGGCGTCCAGGAAGCCACAGCTTACCAGGGCCAACTCCGCCCCAGGCCACCAAGGCAAAGACCCCACAGAAGTGGCTGAGTGGGGCCTGGGGCCTCTGTCCCCACCACGATTCTCCACGGGGGGGGGGGGGCACAAGAAGGACTGCAGCTTGAGAAAGGGCCAGCTACCCTTGGCGGCAGCACTGTGGTCCCAGGATCACCCGCAGGTAAACGGGGGGACCTAAGTGCCAGGACAGGGAGGCCTCGCCAGCCCTGAGCCGCACAGACCCTCACAGATGCTAAAGCAGCACCAGGCCCCACTCAGCCTGAGCTGACAGGAGGGCTGGAGGCAGCGTTGGCCAGGGCCACCGCGTGGCACTGCCCCAGACACAGGCTCGGGCCAGGTACTAAGGGGGAGCGGACACCCCAAAGGGACCGTCGCGGCGCCCCCTTCCGCCCCACTCACCGGAGCAGCGCACGCCCGCGTCCTCCTTGTGCGCACAGTCTCCGCGTCCCCACCGCTGGGCCGGGCAGTCCCGCAGGAACGCCTCGCTGCCCCGGCACCCCACCTCGTCCAGCCACACGGGCCCTGAGCCGGGGCCAAAGGCGGCCCCCTCCAGGGCGTCCACGGCCCGACCACAGCCCAGCTGCCGGCACACGACCTCCGCGTCCGCCAGGTCCCAGGAGTCGTCGCACACGGTGCCCCAGGAGCCGCCGTGCCAGAGCTCCACGCGCCCGGAGCAGCCGTCCGCGCCCCCGCGCACGCGCAGCGCGCCCTCGTCTGGAGAAAGGGGCTGCGGTCACTGCAGGCACCAGCCGCGGAGGGAGGAGGGCAGGGAGACGGACAGAGGGCTACCTGGGCAGCTGAGGGTGGCTGAGCAGTTCAGGGCCTCTCCAAGGTCCTGGGGCACTTCCCCTGTGTGTTCTGTGTAGAAAAGTAGGGCCCGTTTTTCCATTTGCAAGCTCAACAGGCTTAAATTTTCTGAAATATTTTTCTTTTCCTTTTTCTTTCTTTCTCCCAAACACAGGAATTTCTGCTTGCCGAAGGAGGAGAACTCTCTGTTTAAGCAAGGTGTATCCACACAGGATGAGGGATTCAACAAACTGTTCCCGGGACTACTGGGCGCAGCTGGGGGGCGGGGGCTGCCTGTCCCCAGCGGCCTGTCCTCGGAGGATGTCTGGGAAGCCCAGGGCTCCTGCTTCCCACTGGGGGAGAACCAGGGTTCTGAGGGGGTTCCAGAAGGTCCCCACCCAGCTCAGAGGTTCAGAGCAGGGACTGGACCAGCACAACTTATAAGGAAAAGGGAAGCCTGACGTTCATCCCTCGGGAAAAGGCCCATGTGGATGCAGTGGGAGGAGCCTCAGTGACCGCCCCCCACCCCACAGAGGCCCACCCATCGCTCACCTGCACACAGGCCCTCCCACCGCTCACCTGCACACAGGACCCAGGCTTCCTCCGTGCTGGGGCAGGAAAGAGGGTCCCACGGAGCCGATGGGCACTGCCACAGGGACCAGTCATTCCTGTCCCTGCACTCAATGGAGGCCACCCAGAGAGCGTCGGGGGCAGGCCAGCTCCCTGCCCCAGCCAGCAGCTGGCCGTGGGTCCCACAGCCCAGCTGCCCACACAGGACCCCCAGGGCGGCTGCATTGAGGTTCTGGCAGACCCCGCCCCAGGTGCCGTTGTAGAAAATTTCCAGCCGCCCTGCGCATGGCCCGCTGTGGTTCTGCAGCCTCAGGTCCGTGAACTCTGCAGACAGAGAGGTCAGTCAGCCAGGCGCGGCTCTGAGTGCACGTGGGGACGACAGAGCGGACGGGCCGCACCCACCTGAGCAGAAGACCCCAGCGTCCTCCTTGTGCCCGCAGTCGTGCTGGCCCCAGCCTCGCGACGGGCACTGCCACAGAGCAGACTCGTGGCCCCCACAGCCCAGCTCGTCCAGCCAGATGCGCCCCGTCCCGGCCCCGAAGTGGGCGGCCCCCAGGGCGCTGAGGGCGCGGCCGCAGCCCAGCTGCCTGCAGACCACGTGTGCGTCCCGCAGGTCCCAGGCGTCGTCACACACGGTGCCCCACGCTCCCCCGTGGAGCACCTCCACGCGCCCGGCACAGCGTCCTGGCCCCGCGGCGAGGCGCAAGCGGAGGCTCCCTGCGGAGAGACCCAATCAGGGCGCCCCAGCCCACGCGAGCGCGGGAGGCGGGGCACGGGGCTCCACACTCACCGGAACACACGACGCCCGCGTCCCGCGACGTCCCCGCGGGCTCCCGCAGGGACGTGGACACGTTGCACTGGCTCAGGCGGGTCTCGTTGCCCAGACAGCGCGCGCGGCTCAGCCCCACCGGGAGGGCCCCGCGGCCGGGGGCAGGCGCGTCGTAGGCTCGCTCGGCCCCTCCGCACCCGAGCTGCCGGCACACGACGCCGGCGCCGCGCAGGTCCCAGGCGCGGTCCAGGACGCGGCCCCACGCGCCGTCCAGGGAGACTTCCACGCGCCCGTCGCAGCGGCTCTGTCCGTCCCTCAGCCTCAGGGCGTGGGGGAGACCTGCCGCGTGGGACGCGCCGGGACCCCAGGGCGTCACGGGACGGACCACCACCCCGGCAGAGCCAGCCCCTCCTACTTCCATCCGCTCTGTCCACGGCCTTGCTCACCCTCCTCCTCACCGCCCTGCGGCTGCACCCACCTGAGCACACCGCGGAGGCCGAGTTTCCTGGGGCACAGGCCGGGGCCCCCAGGGTGCTTGCTGGGCAGCTGAACAAATGCGGCTCCGTCCCCGCACAGTGAAACGCGTCCGGCCAGATGGTGGCATTCCCGTCCCCAAAATGGCCTCCTCGCGGTGTGGCGACAGCATTGCCACAGTCGAGCTGCTGGCAGAGGACGGTGGCATCTGGCAAGTCCCAGTGGGAGGCGCAGATGGGCGCCCAGGTGTCCTCCACCTGGAGCTCCACGCGGCCGTCGCAGCCGCTGCTGCCGTTGACCAGCCGGAACTCTGGGGGACAAGGTGCAGCCCGTGTGGGTCCCAGACCCGCAGACACTGCTGGCTAAACCCAGTCCTCGCCCCAGACTTGGGAGGGACAGACTGAGGGCAAGAAAGCAGCTTTGCCGAGTGATGCCACCAAAACTTGGGCTGGGGAACACCAAGATTCATCCCTCCACTAAGGCATTGATTAAGCCCGGGACAACTGTCACAATCAACTCGGTCAGTTCTCTGGAACGTAAGCACAAGCTCACAACAGGGGACGCAAGAGTAAGAAGCTACAGAGAGTGGCTCCACACAGGCAGCAGGTGAGCACCAGGACAGCGTTCACATGGCCTGGCTAAGAGTTGACGGAGAGACCCGTTGCGGAATTAGTGTGCAAAGACTGGGAGGGTCGTGCTTTTCTCTAGTCATTAAAATACGTCTCTGTCCCACTGCTCGCTGGGCACTGTCCTAACTGAACACAGACTTCCGAGGCCACAGGAAAAAAACAGTCTTTCCAAAGGAGCTTAGCAAAGCTGCTCAGCGATTAAGTACAACTCTCAACAAGCAGCAGCAAGAAGCCCTGATGGGGGAAAACTGATTTCCAGAGTTGCCACATTATAATAATCAACATTTCCTGTTTCATATTAAAAAGTAGAAAGCATGCAAAAAAAAAAAAACCTCAATAAGGTATGGTTAATCACGGATGGAAAAGATAATAAAAACTGTCCCTGAGGAAGCCCAGTTGTTGGACTCACTAGACAAAAACATCAAGTCAGCTGCCTCAGACATGCTCAGAGAGCTAACGGAAGCCCTGGACCAGTAACCAAAGGGTGCCAGGATAACAGTATCTCACCAAATAGAATAAATGGATAGGAACTATAAAAATGAACCAAAAAGAATTTCTGGAGCTGAAAAACACAATATCTGACATTTAAATTTTTCTCGAGGGATTCAAAGAAGAAAGAATTAGGGAACATGAAAATAAGTCAATCGAGCTTATCCAGTCTGGGGAGCAGAAAAAAAAAATGAAGGAAAATTAACAGAGCCTCAGAGACTTGTAGGGTGCCATCAAGCATAGCAATGTCCCCATAAGGGAAGTCCTGAAAGAAGAAGCAAGAAAGGGATAGAAAGAGAATCCCAGATTTGGCTCAATACCTAAAGGTAATTACATTGCAATACACTATAATCACTGGGTATATATTGAAAGGAAATTAAATCAGTATGTTGAAGAGACATCTGCACTTGTGTGTACTGCAGCACTACTTGTAATAGCAAAGACATGACAACAACCTAATTGTTCATCGATGGATGAACGGATAAAGAAAATGTGTTTTTACGTGTGTGTATATATACACACAATGTATACAAATATCAAAACATGATGTCCTATACCTTAAATATATAGAATTTTTATTTGTCACCTTAAAAAATAAATACAAATATTAAATTAAATATATTGCTAAACTGAAAAAATTTAGAGAAGTTCAGAAAAAGAGAAATACATTATAATCAAACTGTCAAAAGACAAAGAGCATTGAAAGCAACAGAGAAGTGACTTGTCATCCCTAGTCTCAACAGAGACTAGGGATTCTCAATAAGATTAAAAGCCAGTTTCTCATCCAAAATCATGGAGGCGAGAAGTGAGATAATATATTCAAAGTTCTGTAAGAAAAAATCTGTCAAACAAGAATTTAAGGTCAGAAATATTATCCTTCAAAAATGAAGGAAAAATTAAGACATTCTCAGACAAAAGTTAAGGGAGTTCGTTGCTAGTAGACCTGCCCTACAAGAAACACATAAGAGAATCTTTCTATTTGAAATAAAAGGAGACTAGACAGCAACTTCAAGCCATGTGAGGAAATAAAGAACACCGATAAAGGTAACTACGTAAGTAAATATGGGTGCCAGTATTATTTTGTTTCAGGAATATAACTTCTTTTTTTCTATATGATTTAAAAGACAAATGCACACATCTATATTACAAGTCATACAATATATAAGGATATAATTTGTGATAACACCATAAAAAGGGAGATGGAGCTACATAGGAGCAGAACTTTGGTAAATTTTTGAATTTCTGAAGCTAAATTGGTAATAATTTAAACTGGACTGTAATAAATTTAAGATATTAATTGTAATCCCCAAGGTAATTCTAAGAAAATAATTTTAAAATAGACTAAAAAGAGAATAAAGTGGTCCACAGAAAGAAAATCAATTAAACACCAAAAAATATAATAAAGGAGGGAATGAGGGACCAAAAACTATGTATCACACACAGAATTACTCCAGGCAATTACTTTGCATGTGAATGGATTAAACTCTCCAGTCAAAAGGCAGAGGGGAAGAATGGATTTTTTTAAATGATCTAATTACATGCTGTCTCAATAGACTCGCTTTATATCCAAAGACACGAAAAAGTTGAAAGTGAAAGGATAGAAAAAGATAGTAACGCACTGCAAATTGACCAAGGTACTGACAAAAAGAATAAAAGAAAAAAGAAAAAGATAGTAATGCAAATAGTAACCAAAAGAGACTGTAAATAAAAATGTTAAGAGATAAAAAAAATAAAAATAATATTAAGAGTCAAAAAAGATGATTCTATATTAATAGAAGGATCAGTTCATTAACAATGAATAACAGCTTAAAACACAAATGCATCAAACAACAGAATCTTGAAACACAGCACTGTATACAAAGCAAAAATTATCAAAATCGTTGGAAGAAATAGACAGTTCTGTGATAGCTGGAGGCTTGAATACCTCACTTTCAGTAATGGACAGAACATCCGATGGAATATCAATCAGGAGACAGAGGACTGGAACACCACTGTAAACCCACAAACCTAACAGGCACATACAGAAAAATCCAACAGCAGAATGCACACTCTTCTCAAGAACGCACAGGGAACATTCTACAGGACAGACCATACGCTAGGCCACAAAACAAGTCTGTATAAATTTTAAAAGGTTTAAATCATACGAAATGTCTTTGCTGACCACAGCAAGGAATGAAACTTGAAATCAATAACAGAAGGAAAAAGGAAAGTTCACAAATACGTATAATTTTAAAAACAACTCTTACATAATCAATAACTCAAAGAAGAAATCACAAAGGAAATTACAAAATATTTTTAGATGAATGAAAACAAAAATACAATGTACCAAAATTGTGCAGTTGGCTGGGCGCGGTGGCTCGGGCCTGTAATCCTAGAACGCTGAGAGGCCGAGGCGGGAGGATCATGCAAGGTCAGAGGTTCAAAACCAACCTGAGCAAGAGCGAGACCCCGTCTCTACTAAAACTAGAAAGAAATTAACTGGCCAACTGAAAATATATAAGAAAATTAGCGGTGCATAGTGGCACATGCCTGTAGGCCCAGTTACTCAGGAGGCTGAAACAGAAGGATTGCTTGAGCCCAGGAGTTTGAGGTTGCTGTGAGCTAGGCTGACACCATGGCACTCTAGCCCAGGAAACAGAGTGAGACTCTTGTCTCAAATAAATAAAAAAATAAAAAATAAATTGTGCAATTAAGTGAATGCTCGCAAGAAATGCAAACACCTACATGAAAAAAGAAGAATGAACTCAAATCACTAACCTAAAAAAACTAGAATAAATAAGAGCAAACTAGGCCGGGCGCGGTGGCTCACGCTTGTAATCCTAGCACTCTGGGAGGCCGAGGCGGGCGGATTGCTCAAGGTCAGGAGTTCAAAACCAGCCTGAGCGAGACCCCGTTCTACTATAAAATAGAAAGAAATTAATTGCCATCTAAATATAATATAATATATATATAGTATATATATATATATATATAAAAATTAAAGCCGGGCATGGTGTGGTGCCTGTAGTCCTAGCAACTCGGAGCTGAGGCAGTAGGATTGCTTAAAGCCCAGGAGTTTGAGTTGCTGTGAGTTAGGCTGACGCCACGGCACTCACTCTAGCCTAGGCAAGAAAGCGAGACTCTGTCTCAAAAAAAAAAAAAAAAATAAGAGCAAACTAAATCCAAAGCTATCAGAAGCACAGCAATATAAGGATTACAGCAAAAATAAACAATATAGAGAATAAAAAAGCCAAGAACCAAGGAAATTTTAAAAATGGTTCTTTAAAAAGATTTTTATAAATGGCAATAGGTACAAACTAATGAAGAAAAAAGATGAAAGACTAAATTATTAAAATAAGAAATAAAAGTGGGGACATTACTATTGGTCTTACAGAAATAAAAAAAAGATTGTGAGAATACTATGAACAATTCTATGCCAACAAACTAGATAATCCAGATGATATGGATAATCCTTAGAAAAACATAAACTACCAAAATTGACCCAGTAAGAAACAGAAAATCTGAACAGACCTATAACAAGAGATTGAATCAATAATCAAAAACTTCCCAACAAAGAAAGGTCAGGGTGCCAGATGGTTTCACTGATGAATTCTACCAAACATTTAAGGAAGAATTATACCAATCTTTCTCAAAATCTCCCAAAAATTAGGAAGGGCAGGATCAGTTTCTAACTCATATGAGGTAAGCTTACCCTGATAACAAAGCCAGACAAAGAAAACTATAGACCAACATCCCTGAAAAATATTGATGCAAAAATCCTCAACAAAATACAAGGAAATCAACAGCATGTTAAAAGAGTTATACAACATGACCAGGTGCGATTTATCTCAGAAATGCAAGGGTGATTCAACATACAAAAATCAATCAACGGAATAAACCACGTTAATAGATTGAAGAAAGAAAACAATAATTATCTCAATTGATACAGAAAAAGCATTGGACATAATTCAATATCTTCTCATGATTAAAAAAACTCAGAAAATTAGGAATACAAGAGAACCTTGTGAACATGATTAAAGGGCATTTACCAAAAACCCGCAGTTGACAGCGTACTCAATGGTGAAAGACTGAATCCTTTTTCCCTAAAATCAGGAACAAGACAAGGATGCCCACTTTCACCATTTCCATTCAACACTGTGCTGGAAGTTCTAGCCAGAGCAAGTAGGCAAGAAATAATAATAATCGGCATCTAGATTAGAAAAGAAATAACAAAACCATCTCTCTTTGTAGATGGTATGAATATACAGGAAATCCTAAATAATTCATAAATAAATAATTACAGCTAACAAATGATTCCACAGAGTTGCAGGATACAATATCAACACACAGATATTAGTTATTTATATGCTAGTATACTTCTATACACTAGCATTGAACAATCCAAAAAGGAAATTAAGAAAGCAATTCCATTTACAATAGCATCAAAAAATAAAATATCTAAGAATAAATTTACCCAAGGAGGTATAAAATGGGTACAATGGAAACTATAAAACATTGCTAAAAGAACTTAAATAAGACCTAAATAAAAGGAAAGATGTCTCATATTCAAAGATTGAAAGACAATATTGTTAAGATGGCTATACTACCCAAAGTGATCAATGCCATTCCTATTACAACACCAACGGCTTTTTATTTTAAGAAATAAAAAAAAAAAACTGATCCTAAAATTCATATAGATTACAAAGGATCCCAAATAGTCAAAAGCATATAAAAAGAACAAACTTAGAGGACTTTGTTGATTTGACACTTTCTGATTTCAAAACTTACTACAAAGCTACAGTAATCGAAACAGTGTGGTGCATGTAAGTGTAGCCATGTAGGTCAATGCAGTAGAGCTGAAAGCCCAGATATAACCAGAAATGTACCAGAAAGTCCAGAAATATGCGAATGGTCAATTAATTTTTGAAATAAGTACTATGACCCTTCATTGGGGAAGGAACGGTCTCTTCAAAAAGTGGTGCTGGGGACAGGATGTCCACCTGCGAAAAGATGCAGCGGTCCCTTCACCCCAGCATATACGAAAACTAACTCAGAATGGATCAAAGACCTAAATATAAGAACTATCATATAAAACTCTTAGAACAAAACATACGGGTGAATCTTCATGACTTTGGATTTGGAAATCAGTTTTCTAGATATGACACCAAAAGCATAATCAACAACAGAAAAAGGGTAACTCCTGCTTAAAAAAAGTTAAAAACTTTAACGCGTCACAGAAACTGTTAAGAAAGCGAGAAGACAACCCACAGAATTCAAGAGAACGTTTGTGGCCAGACTCACAGGGCCACGTGTGGGTGACTCCACCTGGGAAACGTCCAGAGGAGGAAACTCCCGGACACGTGGGGGTTACCGGTTGGGGAGGGGAGGAAAGGAAGCGCTTACAGGTTACGGGGTTTCCTTTTGGCGTGGGGAAAATGTCCTGGAACCCCATCGCGAATGTGGGTTGTGAACGTACTAGATAAATGCCACTGCACTGAACACCTTAAAATGGCTAAAATGATGAATTTAAGCTGCGATTTGTGTCACAATAAGAAAGAAAAGGCGGGACGGAAATGCGAGCTCCCATTGGGGGCATGAACGGGAGCGCCTGTGTCTGTGGGTTCCCCGGGAGCCCGCGCCCGCACTTACTGTGCCCGGAGCGCACGAGCCCCGCGTCCCGGCCGTGCGCGCACCGGCGCCCGGGCCCCCGCCCTCCGTGCCCCGACCCCGCACGCAGCCCAGCCCCGGGAGCCCGCTCCCGCACTTACTGTGCCCGGAGCGCGTGAGCCCCGCGTCCCGGCCGTGCGCGCACCGGCGCCCGGGCCCCCGCCCTCCATTCCCCGACCCCGCACGCAGCCCAGCCCGGGAGCCCGCGCCCGCACTTACTGTGCCCGGAGCGCACGAGCCCCGCGTCCCGGCCGTGCGCGCACCGGCGCCCGGGTCCCCGCCCTCCGTGCCCCGACCCCGCACGCAGCCCAGCCCCGGGAGCCCGCGCCCGCACTTACTGTGCCCGGAGCACACGAGCCCCGCGTCCCGGCCGTGCGCGCACCGGCGCCCGGGCTCTCGCGGGCAGTGGAACAGCAGCGACTCGTTGCCCGCACAGCGGAAGGCCTCCGTCCACACGGGTCCGGAGCCTCGGCCAAAGCGGGCGCCCCCGGGCATGGACACGGCCGCCCCGCACCACAGCTCCCGGCACACCACGTGCGCCGTGGCCAGGTCCAGGTCTGCGTCGCAGACGGTGCCCCACGTCAGGCCCCGCCGCACCTCCAGGCGCCCGGCGCAGGGGTGCTCGCCGCCCGCCAGCCGCGCCTCCGTGTGTCCTGCGGGCAGACGCTGGACTGGAGCCACCGGGGCAGGACGGCTCTGCGCCGGCCTCTGGCGTCAGAGGGGGTCCAGAGGCCAGCAGGGGCAGACGTGGGGGCAGGGGCATCCCTCCACTCTGCATCTCCCTGGGGTGCTGGCCCCCACCCCCACACAGATTCTGACAGCAAGCCTCTTCCCCGCCCTGCCTCTGGGGAGACACAGGTCCCCTGGGACTCTGAGTGGGAGTATATGAGCACCCCCCACCCCCCACACTCAGGCCAGATAGGAACCGTGGGCAGAAGGCCGGGACGACAGGCACGGCCAACAGTGGGCGGCTCCAGGCGCCTTCCTGGACCACTGCCCGCTGGAAGTGCAGAATCCTGTCAACCACCGTGCACTGGGGACAGGGGCTTCCACTGTCACTAAGGCCAAACGGTGAGGTAGATGTCATTATCCCCTTTGTTCGCATAAAAAAACTGCAGCCTGCAGAATGTCCCTACCTGAACACACCACATGGGTGTACGTAGGGAGGTCACACTGCTCTAGGAAGTTTAGGTTGATCTTGCAGTTGAAGATGCTGGACTCTGTTCCTTGGCAGGTCACAAACTTCCGCCCCTGGTCCCCAGGGCCCCCTCTGCCGTGGGCTCTAGACCACTGCAAAGCGGAGCCACAGCCCAGCTGTCTGCAGAAGACGTTGGCCTCTTCCTGGTGCAAGTCACACCTCAGGACGTTGCCAGCCGGGTTCACCACCTCGGGGATCCCGGCACAGGGGCTGCCACCCTTGCCCAGCCCGATTTGTTGAAAGGTACCATCTGCTGGCACAGAGGAGAAAGCTGGCCCTCAGAGCCCTCACCCTTGGCACAAGTGCAGGGACTAAGCCCTGGGAGCCCCGGCCTGACTGCATCCACAGGGCCCTCGCAGCTCCCCCACCCCGCGCACAAGTGCTGGAGCCGTCCCTCCCGGAACTGCTGGCTCCCAGCGCAGCACGGAGAGTGGCCACCGTGGGGGCCCAGGCCAGGCACCTGCCATTAGCACACAGGTAAGTGCACTGTGATGATTGATGCTGCGCTTTCTACGCAGCTGGAGTTGGGAGGACCCCACAGAGTTTCCTGAGGTGGCCCTGACGGTGGTCAAGGAAAAGCAGTCGGTGACTGAGACTAGAAACCTGGAGACCAACATTAACATAAGCGGGAAGGGGGTCCAGGCTCAGAGACAGGAAAGGGAGCGAGGGCTGATCTCCCGAAAGACAGATAAGGAAACCCGCCTCACCTTGCTGTCCTGCGGCAAAAGGACCCCTGAGGAGCCCCGAGGCTCCACGGGGAATGGGGCACTCACATCTGAACCAGACCCACCCTCCTGCCCTGGGGCTTGCCTCAATGCCCCTGGAGTCCGAGCAGAGGATGGAGGTCCCAGGAACAAGAGGGGATCAGGGTCCCAGTCTGACCTACCTGAGCAGGTTATCACCGCCACGCACTGGCACTCACAGCTGGTCAGTGGCTCCCAGGCACCCAGGGAGCACTCCCAGAGTGAAGCCTCCTCGCCCTGGCACTGGGCACCGTGCAGCCAGGTCAGCCCCATCTCATGGGGCCTCAGAACGTACTGGGAGGTTGCTAGAGCAGAGCCGCAGTTGAGCTGTCTGCAGGTCACCGACGCCTCTACCTTGCTCCAGCGGTCCCCGCACACAGGGCCCTGCCGGCCCAGGTGCTGCACCTGCAGGAGGCCCTCGCAGTGGTTTCCACCACCCAGGAGACTCAGGGACTCCTCCCCAGCCAGGCCTTCAGGGACAAGAACACAGGATGGAGAGAGAAGATGCTGGGAATTTCATTCCAAATTTTCAAGCGTTAGAAAGTGTTGCCTAGCTTTTAATCCAAATTTCCACTGTTATCTCAAATTTCCATACCACTAATACTCTGCATTTTGATGGCATCAGACTGGTTTCTTCAAAGTGAAAGTTAGCAAAAAAGTGAACAAAGAAGCCAGGTAGGCCGGACGCGGTGGCTCACACCTGTAATCCTCGCACTCTGGGAGGCCGAGGCGGGCAGATCATTTGAACTCAGGAGTTCGAGACCAGCCTGAGCAAGAGCGAGACCCCTGTCTCAAAAAAAAATAGAAAGAAACTAGCTGGACAACTAAAAATATATAGAAAAAATTAGCCAGGCATGGTGGCGCATGCCTGTAGTCCCAGCTACCTGGGAGGCTGAGGCAGGAGGATCGCTGAAGCCCAGGAGTTTGAGGTTGCTGTGAGCTAGGCTGACGCCACAGCACTCTAGCAACAGAGTGAGATTCTGTCTCAAAAAAAAAAAAAGAACGAAGAAGCCAGGTAACTAGGTGTGTCCTGTGTTGTGTCGTCCCCACCCTCCCCCAGATAACGTCCTGCATTCCGGGGGGGCTCTGTCCCAGGACCCTGCAAACGGCATCGCACACTCACCAGGAGGGAGGGTCCAGCAGGCCAGGAGCAGGGGCCACAGCCCCAGTGGGGACAATGCCAGGCCTGGTCGCATCTGCAGTGGTTCCCCCGGCTGGCGTCTCGGGGCAGGCACGAGCAGCTCTGCCCCGAACAGGAGGTGGCCTCCGACTCAATGTGACACTTTCTGAGAAGGAAGCCCGTCAGCACCCTCACCACCCCCCTATATCAGAGCCGCCATCTGTCACCTGTGCCTGAGCCCAGGCAGTGCCCGCAGCGTATGCTGAGGCCGGGCTGGGCTTCCTGCAGCCGTGCCTGACGCAGCCCCAGGTGTGAGATGGACTGACCAGGAGCCGGTTCTCGGCACGGCTCTGAGGGCCGCGGTGCTGAGACCAGGGCCGGCAGGGGAGTGATGGACTCTCTGTGCCCACATGGAAGGTTGGCTGAAGACCTGAGGTCGTTCCCAGCTCGGTGCGAGGTGTGGACAGAGACTTAGCGATTGGATCAAAATCCTGAGACACGTGCCCGTGACCAGCCCTTGCAAGGGTGCACACCGATCTGTGGGGGCCTGCATCCTGAGGTGGCAGCCAAGTGTGCAAGTCACCTGAATCGTGCTGGTTAGGCAGACTAAGGAACATCTGTACTGTGAGATATAATGGCAACTTCAGAGTGTAATTCTCTTCCTGTGCACATAGACGTTTACTGAAATGTCTGAACCATAATCCCATCTCAGACTGGAAAGGAGTAAAATCGCACTATCTTCTCTGATGACAGTGAAAATTGAGTAGAAATTAGTAACTAAAGATACATCTAAAATTTTCATGTTTTTGGAAACCAAGCAATACAAAATTAAGTAGAAGTCACACTGGAAATTAGTTTGGACAAATCTCACAAATACAATATTGAATCACAGAAAGCCAAACACAAAGTACACACTTTAGATGCCATTGATATAAATTTTTCATGCAGGCAAACCAAATTTTGGAATTAGAATGCAGGTTGGGGAGGGGTGTGAGGGGACACTTTTGGGATGTTGGTAATGCCACACATTGTCAGTAGCGCCCTGGGCAGCAATTCTATGACTCAACTGTGTGCTATGTGGCTGTTTGTTTTCATTGACCTGTAGAGCTAAATAAAAGAATTCTAGAACTTTAAAAATGTGTCTTCTATACTTCCCTTGTGTGCCTGCCACACGTCATAATGCACTTTGTTTCTGTTTTTGTTTTTTACATTTATTCCCATTACTTTCTAACATAACTAGTTCCATTTGTCAAGTTTTAACGCTGTTGAGGGCAGGGTCTGTGACTTATCACCAATGCACAGTACAGGGCTGGGCACGGGGGAGGCATTCCTAAATGTTCGGGGAAGTAAATAAGTAAACTGCAGTGATGAAAAGTAGAAAAAAAATGAGCTTCTAGTTTATATTATATGACACAAAAAAAACCTCTAAGTAGTACTTTTGATCTAAAAGAATAGCAAAAATAGTTTAAAATTCAAGTCGTATCAGATAAAAGAGCAACTTTGAGAGACTAAATTCACAATTCTAAGCACCACTGGGTTCAAGGCACTCCCAGAGTCCAGGTGCTGGGAGCTCACACATCTCACTTGCCTGACAGGCAATGCCGGGGGGTGGGGGGCAAGAGAAATTGGGGCACAAGGGAGAAGTGGCGGGGGGCTGGGGCAGCTCCAGGAAGCCTCGGAGAGGGGCCACACTTTTGTGGGGCTGCAGACAGATAAGCAGGGAGGCCAGGTGTCAGCCGCGGGAGGAACACAAGGCAGAGGCTCAGAGTGTGAAACACCACGCCCTGCTCATGGGGCTGCAGCAAACAGCTGTGCTGCAACAGAGCAGGGAGGGCAGAGCAGGGGTGATGCTGGAGGAGCCTGCGGGCCCGTGCCCAGCTCCGCACAGCCCTTTGGGAGCTGCGGGACCCCTGGCAGCAGCTCCAGTCCCCAAGGAGGCCCCTGGCTCCGTCCCTCCAGGCCCCTTGCTCTCTGTCCTGCGCCTTCATTCAAGACCCAGGTCTTTTCTCTTTTGCTTCCATGCTTGCAGCCTTGGACTGCTGTTGGCTTTCGGACTTACCTTCTCCCCAGGACTTAGACGCACCTTCCCCAGCTGCAGAAAATCCTTGAAAGGGAGTGACAGTGAATGGTGCAAATGGATTTAACCAGCCCCCCAGGCTCCTCCTGGCTTTCCTGCAGCCCCCAGGAGCACACAGGACACCTACCTAAATGCACAGTGTGTTTACGTTCCCTCAGACTGACCACCTGTGGCCAGGCTGCGGCTCTAACCGTGGGCTTTGCTGTTGGCCCTGGTGCTGACACCAGGCTGCGGCTCTCTGGCCTCTGGCCACAGTGCTGACAGCGGGCTGACGGCGGGCTGGGCGTAAGAGGTGCCTTGCCCCACTTTCTACAATCCCCCCAGCTCCTGTCTCCCAACTCACATCTTCACTGCAGCCTCCTCTGCTTACAACCCTGTGGCCCAAGTCCTTCAGGTGAATCCACCTGTCCAGTTTTATGGGGATAATGCCCAGGGCTGTCCCCCTCCCCCCAGCACGGCCAGTGTGTCTCGTTCTGTGAGGCCACATCCCCCTCGGAAGAGGAATCACGTCACTGAGACGAGGCCCCAGGACTCAGGCTGTGCGCCGGTTACGAAGGGCCAACAGTCCACCCCTTCCCACGGTCACTGGCAACGTTGGCTGGAAACTCCTCGCTCCTGGCCCACACCCCTCCCAAGCCATGAACCACACTTGCATCATTCTTGTGGCCTCCCAGACGTCACCCAGGGCTGACTTCCCGAGCAGGAAGGGCAGGCACCGAGATGCAAGGAGACTGGGGCTGATTAGGACAGGGCAGGTGCCCACAGCACACTCAAAACACATCTCGGACTACCTGCTCCCACTTGGATTTCACCGTTGGACATTAATGTTCCTGAACCTTAAAAAGCTTTTTATTTTTAAGAATTAGCATTCAAAGTTATTGTTCAACATCTTTAGTGGAGAACAGGTGATACCCATTTGGGGACATGCAGGGAAACAAGGATTTATTCCTGGGGCCAGGAGGTTCAGGGGGTGGTGCCACGGAGAAGCGGCCACCCCTGTACTTCAATCACCACTTTCTCAGGGGAGGTTCTCCTATAAGACCTGGTGCCAGGGCTGGTGGCTTCCCACAGAGCCACTGCCCGTGTGGACAAAGGACACTCTTTGCTGTCACCGGCTGCCACTGCTGGCTCTGCCTCTGACCCAGAGTGGCCAGTGCAGGGTTTCCCTCCACTGCGAGGCAGGGAGTTTGGCCACTGTGTGTGGAACAGCAAGAGGGAGGAAGGTGGGGTGACTCCCCACTCCAGGGTGTCCCCACATTCACATGTTGTCCCCTTCCCATGACCAGCTTTTGACCAAGAGAACAGGCGGGGTGAGGAGGGCCCCTCCTGCATGTGACCACGTCTGTGGTGTAGACTCCAGCTGGCCTCGAAAGTGCAGCTGCCATGTGGACGGAGGGCAGGGCGCTATGAGAGCATTCAGAAAGAAAACGGGACCCTGTCCTGCACCTGCGCAGGGGTGAACTCTGCCAAGAACGTGAGGCAGCCTGGATCTCACCTGGGACTCGGTCCCAGCCGACATCTGACTGCAGCCTGCGACCCTGAGCAGGAGACCTGGCTCTGGGGAGCTGCGATAAGACGAATGTGTGCTGCTGTGGCCGGGCACGGTGGCTCATACCTGTCATCCCAGCACTTGGGAGGCCAAGGCAGGAGGATCACTTGAGGCCAGGAGTTTGAGACCAGACCCTGTATCTACAAAAAAGGAAAAAATGTGTGCTGTTCTATTGCCACATGGCAATAGAAAACCAACACAGATGGTGAAGAGAAGAAGTATGGGATGTAGGCTTGAAAATATTTTTAAAATGACAATTATCCAGAAAGTTCCATGTGCTGGCATTAGGGGGTCTTCTCCAAGAGCAACCTGAGCTGTGTTGTCAGTACCTGTCCCACCCGGATGCGGGGCTGTCGACCTCCTGCAGTACCTGGAGCAGTGCCTCGGGTGGTCCCGGAACTTCCTGGGCACCCTCGGGGTCTGTGCCAGTTGCTCCTACGTCTGCGGAGGTGGTGAAAGCTCCCGTCAGGGAATGCGGATTTTTAAGACTGGCAAAGCCAGCGTGTGTCTGGGGACAGCTGGCGAGGACCCTGTGGGAAGTGGCCAATCTGGTTTTCGGGAGTTTCCAGGTGCGGGTGCTGCCACTGCCTTGGCCCTGCTTCCCCGCGAGGGCTTTGTCCTCTCTTCCCGACGACAGGCTGGATGCGGGCGTCGGACCAACGCTCTGGGGCTGCAGGCTCCTCTGCCACCACCCTCACTGGGCTGGCGGGAGCCGGGGGGCCGGACACAGACCCCAGGGGTGGGTTGGTGCAAGCAGGGGCCGATCTCCCGGTGCGGACGCCAGCCTTGTGGGTGTCCACGGACACCTGGGCCCAAACCGGTCAGCCTGTCTGGCTCCGGGCTCTATCCCAGCAGCCCTTGCAGGGCTGCAACTCAAGTGTCTTTCCATGGGGTCTCCGCGGTCTCCGTGCTGGGGTCCCCGTGCTGGGGTCCCCGTGCTGGGGTCCCCGTGCTGGGCCACAGCCCTGACGGGCAGGCTCTCCCTCGTGTGGACATCGTGGCACAGAGGGGACGATGCCAGCTGGGGACAGTCTAAGAAGATGGGAGGAGAGATTCAGACATGTTCTTTATTTTGAAATATAAAATGCGTATTAAAATACTTACAGCACAAAATTTTTATAAAAGGAACGCCCCAGAAACCACAGCCCTAGGAGGGAGCAGAGCTCCACGGTGTCTTGGCAGACCCCACCCCCACCCCAATTCAAGACCCCTCCTCCCTGGGGGCACTGCTGTCCTGGCCTGGGCAGTGACCGGTGCCGTGCGTTTTGTGGGTCACACCTGTGTGTTGTCTGCTGCTACAAACCGCCCCCGACCTGAAGACTTGCCATGACGACAGCTCAGTGGTTCCCAGGGTTCTGCAGGTGGACTAGTGTTTCCCTGGGGGGTCTTGTCCCGCTCACTCAGGGGGCCGCAGCCAGTGTTCTGCGAGGTCTGACGCGTGGGGTCCAGG